TCGAGCTGGAGTGCGCAGGTATGTTCCGCATAAGACTTGATGGTTCAATCTGATTGAGCAAATAATATAATCTACTTTCATATCTTTATATATGATTGACTACAAAAGAAACTGAATAAAGTTTGCCAACAGCATCACTCAGAAAACTTTGTTGGTTTTAGATACCTTCGAAAAAACGCCTACCGATCGGTGTCGAGGCAAGAATTGTGGGAGAGCATGCCAGCTTACGCTGACCATGGTGCTGAACAGCAGCGGCTTAGCGAAGTCATGGAAGGCTGGTTAGTCAATGAGGGAGTGCCTGAGATAACAATTAGGTTTGTTACTTCAACGCAGTTCTGGTATAAATATGTGCAAAAGCAGCCTATACGTCGTGAGATAACTTCGCTTGCAGTCGAAACTATCACAATGATATGATCACCGTGACACAAAGACGTTGTGACGATCAGTACTATAAGGCATTCTTGGGGAATGGTGAAAAGTGAGGCTAATAGAGTTTTAGGGCAACCTTGATGATATATTTTTTTTTAATAGAGCACTGTTGACTAAGCCAAGCGATGTTAGAGCTAGTCGAATTCGACGGGATGACCTTCTAGGAACTACACCTTTTGATGACGCCCTGTTTGAATACATACCCGCTGAAAGTGGAGAACCAGTGAAGAGAAGGCGAAAACATGGGCGAAGGAAAGCTAAGAAGGTCTTTTTTACAGACTATCTTCTATGAAAAAAATCGATTTTTTTTCTGAAGTTCAGCTTCGAACAACGGCAACTCCGCCCTCGTCGAGCATATCCATTCATGTCCGACGAGATGAGCTACGAAAACCGCGACATACGCCCAAACCCACTGATCTTTGGATCATCCCATTCAGCTACACTTTTGGATCTGTGAAGAGTGCGGAGGGGCAGGTAATAAAATAGTCTTTCCATAATCTGAATATCACTCTACGACGGAATTTTGCAGGTTGCACGTCAATTTTGGCTACGAAATCGAAGCGTTACCTTTATTGATGTGGAATTATCTCCTAGCCAGGCGATTCTTGCAAACCCAAATTGGGTTTATCCTTACAGAGTGAATTACGACATCACAAACTGGAAGATGCTCGCAAGA